ATTGGAACACAGTAAGGATAAAGACATGCTCTCTAAGTGCTCAAAGCTACTTTTACCAACAAGCTGTATAAATATAAACCTATTACAAAATATAAACCTATTACAAAAAATTAGCTGTCCTTCTTTTGGAACTTATTAACTTGATAGGGCAAGTCTTTATGGCACTTGCCATTCTATTCTTTGAGTTCTTGTTTAGGTACCACATAAAAGTAAACTCTTACTTCTTGGCTTATTCTTTAATACTAAAATTTATTTTTTATATTTTAAGTTATGTATTAATACCAAAATGTATATTTATTACATATGGCTATCAGTTTTTATTATAATCACAGATTAAAAATAAAGAATTTGGAATGCTAAGAATAGCAATTGTATTTGTTATATCCATATACCTTGATACAGCTTAGAAAAGATTTTTTTGCTCTTTCAAATGTACTGAAATAAACAGATGTAATTCCTGATTCAATAGGTTAATCTTCTAATTTAGTAAGTTAATACTTTATTGATACAAATAATAGCTATAAAATATCTGAAGTGAAACCAAACATTATAAAATATCTGAAGTGACACCAAACATAACACTAAACATGTTAAGCTACCATAATAATGGACACAGACTGGACAGCATAATGATTTTTTTGAATTATTTTTTCTACTGTTTGTCTAAGAGTAAGAAAAATGAACTTGACCGACTGTAGAATGTTATCAATAAAGTTGAAATGCTAAAAGTGTGTCTTTGGACAAGTAAGTCTACAGAACTCAGTTTTCTCATTAATTAAAAAGACAGTTAAAGTGATCTTTAAAATCCCTTTCAGATACAAATTCTATGACGCTCTGTGGACAACTATCACAGCTTTTCCATTGATTCAGTTTGTTTAAACATAAGGATACATGTATCACTATACTACTGATGTCTACTGATATCTTTCTCTACATGAATTCTTTTTTGATGTCCCATTAAGCAAATCTCACAAGCAAACCATATTACAGCATTTACTTTACTATCCATTTACTAAAAACAGCAGATTATCACTAACAGTTGAATGAAATAAAAATATTCCACAACCCAGAAGTTCTAGATTGTTATTTATTACTAGCCTTTATACTGTTTGTGAAAAAGAATAAAACAGAGGTACAAATCTAAAATAATGAAGGCTTTATTAGCCCTCAAATATATGATGTTGTCTAAGGAATTGAAAATAGTTGATTATTTCCCAAAATAACAGCTAAAATCACCCATTAGCAATTTATATACATGTGTACACATGTGCACAGAAATACACATACACAGAGTTTTTATAGTTTTGAATAATTTCAAAAGATATATAGAAACTTTTCTAAAAATTCTGTGCCAATTGAACAAGTAGGAATTACTTTTTTCTTTACTGGATGGTGATATAAGTAAAAAAACTCAATAATCTACTTGATTTTGTCCACGTTTTTATTTAAAGAATTTAATAGTAGTAGTAGTAGTAGTTCAAAACGGTGATAAGTAGTAACAAAAATTTAAAAATATTTTAAGTAAGTTTTAATTTATTTTAAAGTGCTTAAAGAGAAACAGTAATCAACATTACAAGCCACAGATATGGCTTAGGATAAAGCTAATGTTGAAAAGTAGATTTGGTTTAAAAATGAATATTCAAGAATAGGTAATAAAGGTAGCACATAGATATAACAGATGTTCTTGAAAATGGTATGAAAATTAATCAAGCTTTACAAGAATTGTTGAAAATTAAAAGAGTCTATCACCATCTCTACAATATCTTGTAACCCATTATTAATCCTAACTCCTAAAATCCTTGTCACTTCATCAGAAATATAACCTTGACTTTTAATTAGGCAGAGAATTCTATTATCCAATTCCAACTCACAGACTTTTTTATTGATCCTATAATTGCTGACATTATTTTAAATGTTTGCCTAAAAATATAAATATGACATATAGAGTATACTGACTTTGAATCCAGACATTATTGTCAGACACTGTATAGCTACTTACTAAGCTTTTTGGTATTTGTAGAGTAAAACTCTAAAGTTTAATGCATTATTGTTCTTTGTATAGAAATGAGACAGCAGAAACTCTCCTTACAGTTAAGAGCTTGGGCTGCAGCTTAGTGAGGGAACCCAGTCTAAGCAAACATGGGGCCTTGGGTTGAATACTTAGTGGCAAAAACAAAAAGCAAACAATTAAATTACTATATTATAAAGGAATAAGTCATGTCAACTTATTTTGGCCAAGGTATTACTAATAAAAATTAAAATAAAGTTTAAACAGGATCATGAATACATGAATATAATGTCATAACATAAAGCATTATGAAATTTCTGCATAAAAATCTTTTATAATCCTAATTCAGTCCATCAAAAAATAAAGAAATTTAGAAACTTAACTATCTGACTATTATGCAAAATTAATTATCAGCAAAGATCCATGAAATATTACAAACACCAACAAATTACATATGTTCTTTTATAAAGTACAAGTCTAAGAATTAAGTTGAAATTCACATGGCCAACAGACCTACAGAGAATCATCCTGGAGATCATTTAACTTTGAAACTGTTAAGCTTGGGCTATTTTGATCTCTCTACCCAAACACACTGATGGACAAAAATTACAAAGATAATGCTTAAGAAGAATGAGAAATGTCAAAGCAAGAACTATTTCATGTACATCTGCTAGACCAAATATGACGACAGACTTAGTCTCAGTAACATACATACTTGAAATAGCAGATTCTTCACTATTGACACATTGAGTTGCTGCAAAATATTTGGTACACAACAGAAAAAGGAATGTCCTTCAAGACACATTTCACTAAAGAATAGTGGGACAAGTTCAAAGTGGCTTGGGAGTAAAAGGAAATCTGCATCAGGCCTGAGACTTGTGCAGAGAACCGAGTGAGGCTCCTGAGTGGGACCCACGGTAGTTTGCAAGATAGAGCTCAGCATCATGACTCCTCCAAAGAACATTCTTGCCTAATATCACCTCCTACAACAGCAGAAGACATTTTCATAGACTGCATTGGGTAGCAGGCACTCCAAAGATTGCAGCCTCAGAGCCTAGGAAACTCTCTTAACAGGCAGAAAAACATAGAAGGTTGTTTGATTTACTTCTTTTTCTAGAAGGCTTTAAGCCTTTTCATATGGACATTTTCAAAAATTCATAAATGAAAGATTAGTATACTGAACCTACCACTCAATATTAACAATAACTTCCAATTTATAATAGTTTTACAAGGGGAAATTATTCTGCTACATATTAAAAACTACCCATCAGTTACCCCAAATATTACTCACATACTCTTACATACTCATGTAACTAAGGATTTTGGCTACTAATTTACTATGAAAGATTATTTTTCAGGATGGAGAAAAAATCCCTGATTCTATTCTGAAGGATGGCAGAGCTTTCCAAAATTCTCCAATACGGTAGTATCCATGGCAGATATGGACAGATAATGGTGAAGTGGTTCTTTTATTCACTCCCATTTCCCAACATTCATTTGACTGTAAGAGCTCTGCTAGTCCTCTGTTTCCCCAGGCATTTCCAATTGATAATATGTGGGACAGTAATGCCCATGACATTGAAGCTATGATGTCACCTTCAGGGTTCTTAGAAGCTGACGAGACCACAGCATACTTGGTATCCTTTTGTCCTTTTTGATGGTGTGAGTATGAGGGCGACTCACAGCAAGTTTCTTATTCAGAGAATAAATTTTGGGTAAAAATATCTGCAACTTGTTAAATAAATACCTGGATGACTGTAGTTTGGATAAGAAGATATGCTTGACTATCTACATGTGTTTACTGGTTAATAATAAACTCTACCTATTCAATTTAATAATGTTGCTTTTGTTTTTATTTAAGTATTTTAGTGTTTTGACTGCAAACCAAGGAGAGAGGCCTCATGAGAAGCCAACTCTGCTGACAGTTGATCTATTTCCTGTCCCCTTAAGTGAATTTGTTATGTTTAATCCGTTTAGTCTATGGTATAAATGAGACATGTAGAAATCTGAAAGTGTAAGCATGAGATAACTTTGAGAGTTTATGAAAATATTTAAAACATTTACAAAATCAATACATATATAATGTTCATAGTAAACAACATCAGGAAAATCTTTATTGGTATACAACAGTATTCAGGATTTTGTGGACATAATGAACATTAAATTAAAAATATTTACCAATATTCTGTTCAAAGTGCTTTTCAATTATTGTACCAAGTAATTACCCAATTAAGTCACTGCAAAATAAGCTATTATTATTCCAGATTTAATGAAAAGGACTAATAATGACTATTATAAAAGTTTTGTAAAGAAAGACAGTATTTACCATATACAATTGCATACTACTCTTTAATAAGCAGGGAGCAGATAAAATAAAAGGCTGATTATTTACGTGAATTCAGTGGAACAGAGAGGTAACTAACAACTAAAGAACTAGACTTCTGAAAACAGAGAATTTAATATGCAAAGCAGAGACCCAAATTGGCAGGCTATTTATGAATATTGTCGATACTCAGTATGGTAGACTGACAATACAGAATCTTTGGTCATGCCCTAAACAACATAATTCATCACACTAGTGCTCGGGGCCGTCGTGTCCAAGCAATCTATCATCATCATATCACTCGTTGGAGTACAAGAAGGGGAGAACTTTGATTGTTAACCTCTGGGGAGCCTGGATTTATGGCCACTGTCCCTCAGAATGCAGCACAGCTCTGCCTGAAGCAAAATTCTCCCTGCTCCACTTCTGTCTAAGTCACAGCAAAAGCGTGAACATGTTTCCTCCAGGATGTTGAGAGCAAAACCTAAGGCTGATAGTCCTGGATTTGAAATTAGAGAGTCGGGAAATTATATTTAAAATATTCTTTCACATTGCATGAAAACAAATAGTGGTAAGTATGGATGATTCATTTCAAATGCCCTTGGTGACCAAGTAATTTCTGAAATGCAGTCACTGATAACTACATTTGGGAAGAATCATATCACAACTCACCTGTGAATATTCCTGGATCCTCAACAATGTGGCAGTACACTGAAAATTCAAAAATAGATATATAAATTGTATTTCTCAAACTAAACCTGAAACTTTTAGATTCTACCTTTTCCTGACCCTTTGATATATTTTATACTTTAACACCAACCAGCCTTATAAAATATAATTAAGCATTCTCACATAATTTTTTGACGCTTTTGGTGAAAACCACAGCCTGTCAGGTACACTGGTACATACCTATAATCCTAGCTACTTGGGAAGCTGAGGCAGGATGACAAGTGTGAGGCCAGCCTGGGCAACTCTGGGAGACCCTGCCTAAGAATTTAAAAAGGGGTTTGGATTGTAGTTCAGTGGGAGAGCAACTCTGGGTTAGATCCTTACTACTACAATAAGTAAATATATACATAATTAAATAATTAGAAAATAAAATTACAAAGCTAACTAGAGCATCACGAGAAAGAGTGCACCTGTCACATTCCCAACAGTGAAAGGGTATTAGTCCTGAGATGGGTTTTTTATAGCACCTTCGTAAGGTTCCAAGCTGTCTGGCGCTAGAAATCCCTGTATACAAGTGGATCCCACCTCCATGAGTATATTAGGCAGGCTAGGTGAGATTAGGCTGCAGTAACAAGCAAATCCCCAAATCTCAAGGTCTAAATACAATAAAAGTTTATTTCAAGTTCATCATACATATTTAACAGCGGGTGGCAGGGGCTTATTCCATGACCTAGATTGGCAGGGGTCAACTGCCCCTTGCACCCGAGGGGTACCCTTGCCCCTTGCCCGAGTCACCCATGCTCCAGACACTCTGTCCTTCTGGAAGTTTCTAGAACATAAGTTCTTTTATACTTCTTCTAATTCTGTAGCTCTCAATGAAAAGAACAACCAACTTCAAGTACTTCAAGTCTTTCTCATCCTTCCATATCAATTTCTAAATTCATGATCCTCTTCTCCACCATATTTTGAATCTGCTCCCCACTCATTTTTTCTTGTTTACAGTTTGTAGCTATTGGTTAATTTATTGGTTCTTTCTCCTCTAATGAGAATATAAACTCCAAAAAGTTAATTTTAGATCTGTCCTGTTTTGTATGCAGCCTCAGCACATATCCAGGTATAATGACTTATTTATTGATTGAATAAACCTGGCCTTCCTGATCATACCAAATGTGACCAAAAGTGTCATTAAATAGCACAATCAGGATCTTAAATTCATGAATCCACAGACTATTAAAATGAATACAGAACTACATAGAGATCAATTACGTTTATATGTCTAGAAAAGATAAGCAACTTGTACAAAATCACAGAACTGGAACTGAAACTAGAAATGATTACACGCACAGATCCAAAATTCTTTAAATCAGTAACCACCCTGACTGCTCTATTCAGGAGTGTGCATTTAGTTTCTACTGATGGTGAGACTTTGGAGTCAGAAAAACAAGATACTTGCCACCTTTAAACTTTCCAGCATTTCGTTTCAAACTGTTCTGTGCTTTAGCTTTCTCATCAGTACTATGAAACTCTCTCAAGGACTTAGATACCACACCTAGCAATTAGCTTTTACTAACTGAAAAAGTATAGGTGTGGGCATTCCTGTCATGATCCTAAAATCAAGGAACTGAAATAAAACATGCTTTGCTTTTTTATTCTAAAAATCTGTAACCCACGTTTTGGTAACCGTTATAACATTAGAGCAACATACAACCTCTACAAGTGCAAACATAACTTCATCACCTGGCACTTTGTGGATCTGGTGTGAGAATTATCCTTCGAAAAATTAAATTCCTATCAACAGCAAGTTTTCTGATCTCTCTCTAGTGCACTGAGATTTCTTGGAAGGGGGTTAGTTATTTCTGGAATTATATCAGGCCTTGAGGATAACTGCTGTAAAATAAAATGTAACAGGACAAGCGGCTGTCATAAGTTCTTAGACTTTTTTTTTCATTCTCTATGACAAGGAATGCGATGATCCTTCAGGCTAGGAATAAGTGCTTGTCAGTGCCCTCACTCCGGAGGTGACTGGAGGGCTAATGCACCAGTGTGTTAAAACCAACACGGGAGTTCTCATCTGTGCCTTTGCCCCGCTCAGGTAACTCGGCACTTGGGACGTCTTTGTAAAACCCTGAACAACGCTGGATACACTTTGCTCGCACCCATTGGGAGGCGCAGCTAGGTGGGCAGAAAAACTTCGTGACAGAAGAACCAAACCACGGTAAAATAAATGGCGAGGCCAAGGCACAGAGGCGGGAGGTCAAAGGCTAACAGGAGACTTCTTTTGCAGAAGGAAAGGAGGGGAAAGAAAGAAACAGGAACCTGAACAGCGCCCCAGCCCAGCACGCGCCTGAGTCCGCCGGCGTGCACCCGCCCGGGCCGGGTTAGGCTCCGGGACCAGGCCGCCTGCTAGGCCCCAGCCCCTGAGCCTGAGCCCGGACCTTTGTAGTTCTGGGGCGGGTGCGCTAGGAGGGCAGGAAATCTTTCCCCGGACGGAGCGCCCCCTGCCTCGGCCGCAGCGTCGGACCACTTCCTACCGCTCCAAGCCCGCGCCCGCTCCGGCTCCAGGCCCCTTTCCTCTGCTCGCCGCGCCCCGAGCCCCAGCTAGGCCAACTTCTGCCGCCCCCTCCTTCCCACTTCGCCTTCCACTCCGGCCTTTCCCCGCCCCGGGATCTTGCCACGCCCACCGAGACCCCAAATCACCCCAGCGGTTCAGGCCAACTCCGCCCTCGCCCTAGGCCACGCCCACAAGGCTGCAACCTCGCAGCAGGCTTTTATCCCAGGCCACGCCCAGTAGGACTCTGTCAAGTCCGGCCCAATCTTCTTAATCCAAATCTGAACCTCAGCCAACTGCAGGGCCTTCTCTGAGGCAAGCATCTGACCCGCAGCTCTAAAGTCTGCTCTGGGGCTAGGCTGTGTGTCCACTTACTCTGTCATAGAGTCTGTTATAGAGAGATAACCCCAAATAATCCTGCATGAAGAGGCTTTTTTTCTTTTTTCCTCTCTCTGCTTTGGCTGATATCAAAGAATTAGGGACTCAGCTCCACCAAAGAAAAGTTATCAGCTGCATTCTCCCCCTCCCAGTTCTCACAGAATAACCTGATACATTCCAGCCTGTAGTAGCTATTTTATATTTAGTTTCCTCCAGGGACAATGCGTCAGAGGTGGTGGCATAGCATCTGAATCTCCATCCTTCATGCATAGAACCTTGGGTCTGAAGTCCCTGTTCTTTTTTGTTTCATGTTCCTGGGTCTGAGTTTTCTCGTCTTTAAAACTGGCTGTACTGCAGAACTTCGCCTGGTTCAGTGAATATAAGATTAGTAAGTAGAGGGTTAGTGAGTGGGTCATTTGAAAAGAAAAGTCATTTTAAAGGAAGGGAAAGATTTAATAATAATTTATGAAGTATGTTGAGGCAAATGGGGCCGGGCTTTATAACAGGTGTATGGTAACTTGTTTGGGTTTTAGAGCAGCCTGCATACTGTAGGAGTTATTCCCTCCAATTACAGACAGGAAAACAGATTTAGAGAAACACCCTGTTGGAGGGCAGGACTACAATCTGGGTTGACACATCAACCGTCCTTCTCAGTTCTACAGAATGGGTCATTTTGCTAGGAGGCTGGGAAATAAATCCACTTAAGGCAGAAAAAAAGAACTACATGTCTTCTTTTCTTATTTAAAACAATTTCATTTTGTTTTGTTTTTTAAGGAGTGTAAAAAATGGGAGAAGTTATTGAGAAAAGAGGTTGGTTAGCAGGGAGAAGATACTGAGGAGAACAGTGGTTCTTAAGGAGCTTGGCTGGGTAAATCCCAGGAACAGGGATGAGGATCAAAGTAGAGCCTGAGAAGAGGAGAGACGAGAATAAATGTGAAGATTAAGAACGGCAGAGATCTGAGTCCTAAGAGAGCTGAATATTCCTAGAACGATTGGCGCTCACATTGCGATTGTATAATGAATAGCCGGATTGAGGGAGGCTTCCAGGGTGATTTCAGTGCTCGCTACCACTTGATTGTGTTCGCAGCAACCCTGAAGCCATGTCAGTGAGGACCTGACAGTGGTTGTTAAAGAGAGGCCTAAAAGTCCATTATTTATAATGTTACACATTTTAGCAGTCCACACTGCCAGACATGAAATTATACACAAAACTCATGTTAGAAAATGACTTCAGGTTTTCTTTAGGGAAGTTACTAAATTCTCTGTTGCCCACATTAAACTCATCGAACAAGATTTGTAGTGGATTTCACTTGCAGGCTCTTATTTCTATGATTTTATTCTTTAAAAAGGTAACATTACTCTACAGTATATTTCTTTTTGAAAGAAGGAGCTGCAAAAAGCCTTCAAATTAATATGCAAAAGATTTATATCAGAAACTTACCAAACTATGTGAATGGATATGCTCCAACAAGGGGTAACAACAGTGAAAAACTTTTCAGCATACAGCATTTGATTGTACACTCTTTGTACATGGTAAATTACTAAAGTACTACTGTTGAGCATCAAAAACACATAAGATAAACGTTCTTCAAAATTGACTAGACTTGGAGGTAGGCAAATGGGTGAAAAAGATCTTTTATGATGTTCTGTGGTCAAAAATAATAATCTGGCATCAAAGTTGTACCCAATTTAAAATTTTACTCTTTCCTCCTGGAGAAACTTAACTTCAAAATATTTTTTGAAACCTAAAGTATCAATGTTCTATCAGATGTCTGTGATGAAATACCAAAGTTAAAAATCACATTATTGAGAACCAAAGGTTGCCAAATCAACCTCTTAGTTAAGGGTTTAGTTCAAATACACTCGCATTTCTATAGTACTTGCTTTTGATTTTCATAGTTTCTTTGATTTTTGATAGTACCTGTACTTAGAAACACTAAATTGGCAGAGAGAATGAAATCAAAACCAACCATTCAAAGCCCCTTGCTGTGTGGCTTAAAGTTGTAGGTTTTCATCACCCTAGCTAGTTGTTTTAAATATTTACACAAAAATTAATCTGTAGAAACAGATTTCTTAAGAGAAAGGTATTTCTTAAGAGAAAGAAATACAAAGCATCTGCATAATTATCAGATAAACAACAGAAAAAAGAGCAGAGCTAAAGAGGTCAATTCTTTAAATGGTGTTGTTGGCAGCTTACTGTTAATTAGAAGTTAACACAGTGGAGCAGAGATGTTCTTCACTTCAATTTTGGGCATGGTGTGATGCACCACTCCTATGATTTCTAGGAAATATATTAGATTGTGTAATGATTTAATCTCATATGTCCCCCACAAAAGTTCATTTTTTCAGAAGTGGTGCTGGCTTGTATGGGGGGTGCTAAACTCCTGAGAGGATTAATCCATAGTAGGTAGCTACTGATTATAAATTTGTCTTAAAAACATTTTGACTTGCAGGGTGCTGAGGCAGGAGGATTAACAGGAGTTCAGGGCCAGCCTGGGCTGTGTAGTGAGTTCAAGCCCAGGCTGACCTACTCAGTATGACCTTGTCTCAAAAATAAAAGCAAACAAACAAAGAACAAAAACAAAACATTTTGACTTTATCACTGTTGTGGGAAACAATATGGCAGTTTTTAAAAACATTAAATAGAATTTGCACATGATATAGCAATTCCTCTTCTTAGTATAAATCCAGAAAGTGAAAACAATGACCTGAACAGATATTTGTATATCCGCATTCAAGATTATTTGTAATCCTGCAAAAGGCTGAAGTAATCCAAATGTACACTGACAGATAAATCATGTTGTAGCACGTGCAATGGGATATTATTTAAATTTGGATGAATCTTGACAGCACTGTACTAAGTGAAGTAAATCAGGCTCAAAAAGACAAATATTGTATTGTTTTCTTATATGAGGTACTTAGAGTTGTCAGATTGATAGAGACAGAAGGCAGGGTGGTAGTTGTCAGGGGGTAGAGGAAGTTATTTACTAGGTATGGAGTTTCAGTTTATGATGATGTGAATGTTGTAGAGAGAGAGAACGGTGATAGTTGTCCAACAATGTGAAAGTACTTAATGCCACTTACAAATAGTTAAAATATCAGTTTCACTTTATGTACATGTTCCCGCAATAAAAATATTTGACTTTGGGCAGGTGTTTGTAGGTATTAAAAACCTAAATTACAGCTATTTCACTAGTAGTTTTTGGTGTTAAAGGTCATAATTTAAGGTTTTGAAGGGCTGTAATGCTTTCATTCTTTTGTTTTGATCAGTTTTATACTATTTTGTCTTGTTTGAATTCAGTGTGTGGGAAGATATGGGCAACTATTTTGAAGAAAATGAGACATTATGGTAGCCACTGTTGATTTCCTGTTGCCTTGTTTTGAAATTCTGTGTTGCTTGCGTTGTTTTGTTCTTTTTTGTTTTATTCTCTTTAAAATAAAAGAATGTTAATTTTAAAGATCACTTGTTAATTGAATTTCTTTTTTTTTTTGTAGCATAGCAAGCTCTTTTGGTATTTGTGATAAGGATTCAATTATATTTGGTAGCTAATCACTGACTGAATCCATTTTTCCCTGTCCACCTGTACACATAGCTGTACTACATTTCCCAGAGTCCCTTGCAGGTAGGTGTGGTCTTGCCACTGAGGGTCAGTCAACCTATTCTGGTGGAAGTAGCAAGTGTCTTCCAGACCTTGCCTGTCCACACAACTCCCATTCATCCACCATTTTGCTCTCTTTGTCCTTCTATGGGCTTAATGGATTTTCTAGGACCTGAAAACTCATGCG